CAATATAACAAAGAGTGAAAAATTTAAGGGGGTCTGAATACTTTCCGTACCCACTGTATATATATATATATATAATATATATATATATTTTTTTTTTTGGAAACAACCTTTTTTGCTCCTGTTTTCCTAATAACTGGGTCTTCATCACCAAAAAAAACAAACCAAAAAAAAAACACATTTTAGTGTTATATATCCAACACTACTTTGACATTTTAAAAACTACAAAATCTTTGCTATATTTCAAGAGGGCATAGTTGGACCTTATTTAAAATAAGTTGTTCATGAGTTAACTGGGAGATAAACAGTTGGGATCAGTCCATTATCTGGGTAAACATCTGGTGCACGTTTTACTCCTGCAGTGCGTTTAGTTTTTTCTTGGAGTTTGATAGCTTTTGTTTGAGCGTTCAGAGGCTCTTTTGAGAATATCTCTGGGTGCCTCTTACTGGAGCTTAAACTGTGCCGCTGACCTCACGCTTCTGGACCCTCAGTGCGCAGGGTCAGAGGCCAAGTTCGCCACATCGATTTCCCCCATGAAGAAGTCTTTAGTCCCACAGCACTTCTCCTAAGGCCCCCCTCACACACTCCTGTCCACACAGAGCTGCCCGGAGAGCCAATTGTGCCGTGCTGGGAACGATCCGGCGAGTGTCCAAGGGGCCTCTTGGTTAAGCGGCTCTCTCTCAGATAACTGACAACTACAAAGCTCTCCTCTTGACAGGCACTTGTCAATACAAATTTCCACTATTGATAAGTCATTAAAGAAAGGCAGAGCATTCTGCTCCTCACTCCCAACATCTGTTAAACAGGACCTGTAAACAAAACCTCTCAAAAGGCTAAATGAACCCCCTCTGTCCTTCTCTAGAGCCCCCCTGTAGTTTTAAACCAATCCAAATCATATTAAAACTCTTTCAGTTAGCTGCAGCTTTAGAACCTCCATTGAGATAAAAGGTCCAATTCTGCTCATAAAAGCCATTCTAAAAGAGCAAAAGTTTCCTCATACTCAGAACTGAATTCTACTAGCACTCCAAACACTCAATAAAATTATTGTACAAACAAGATTTCTTAGGTTCCTGGGCTATATTTTTTTCTACATTTCACACTAAAATCTTTATCCTGGGTTATGTTTTTGGAGTTGTTACTGGAGTTATATTATTGGCATATCACACTGTACATTCGTAAATCCCAGGTTTGCGGTCTTATGAGCATATTTTTGATTGGACGAACACAGCAAGTGATCTATATATAACGACTTGTCTTGCATCATATAGTATGCGCCATCCAGTGGGTCTTGAGCAAGCATTTGGATCATAACTGTAATAATAAAATGATGTCGTCTTCATTTAACTTAACATGTTTTCCATCACTTCTGTATGACGCTAAAAACACCGTTCACGAAAGTTTCTGTGCAAATCTCATGAATATTTAATGAGACGAGCACTGTTCAGTTTTGCTGAGCAACTGCCCCTAATGTCCTAAAAGGGCCGTTTGCAGAGAATGTGTTTTTGCGTTCCACTGTGACTGCACGGATTTTCTTAATACGTTTGTTTTTCTAATATGTAAACATGCACTAGACGGACATGTTTGATGTGTTTGTCTTTTGCAGCATCTTGCGCATGACAGACTGATATAAAAATGTTAAAATAAGTAACTTTAAAAAAAAAACGCAGCTTGAGACCTTGCATTTTTTCAAGGGGAAAAAATATAGGGCCTAGAAACACGCTTTTTAGAAGTTGAACTTATTTTAACTTAAGCGCTAAGTTTCTAGAACGGTATTCCCCTTTTTTGGAAAAAACAAAAACAAAAACATGGACCAGAAAAAAAACAGGCTTTTTAAAAGTTGAGCTTAATTTAATTTTTCCACTGCATTCCACGTCATGCATGAAATGGTCAAACACATCCATCTAGCGCATGTTTATATAGAAAAACAATGGAAAATCAGCGCAGTGGAATGTAAAAACACATTCTGTGTGAACGGCCCCTAACACTGCATTGTTTCACCTTTAGCATTGCGATGTGGCCTTAACCCTTTAAATAAGCTGCTAACACTTTTCAAAAGATTACAAATTTAAAGTGGGACTCAAGAAGAAAAGAGTTAAATATGAAAGGCCCATACTTTGTGTACTAGGTGTTTCTAAATACTATACCAGTTCTTTATTTTTGACCTAAAGCAAAAAAGAAAGCAAAATCTGACGCTATTTTATGGTTTTGAAACTCTGAAATGAGTTTACTAGTTTGGCCTGTGTTTTTAATGCTGCTAATCTGTGTCTTTGTAAGTGGATCCACTAGCATACATCCTCTAAACCCCTTAAACTCTACAGACAGGGCATACACCTCCAAAGCTTGACTGTAGCTTGGCACTAAGACAAATGAATGGGTTTGCATCCAATTACACCTATGTAAATAAACATCTGAATGAGAAAATTCCAGATGCATCCACCACTTTGTGGTCTCCGAGTGGGTCGGGGTAAAGCCAAAACACAATTTTAGTGGGCTGGAGATGAAAACGGAGCTCTCATTACGGACTGAGCCGGAGTTATGAGGTGGGGATGGTGTGTGTTAGGGGTTAGGAGGGGGCTCTGTACTGGGGCGGTGGTTTTCGGGGAGGGGGTCACACACAACCAGCGTCTTTGTGTGGCTCTAATCCTCCCAGCCAACACAGCTTTGGCCAGGTTTCATCATGAAAGTGCCATGAAATAACTACTTTTTTTCTTAGCAGCAAATCTCCACTAATCCCGCAGGCTGAAGAGACAAAGGCTTCTGGGCTCTGAGCTCCAAGCTTTTAATGGGGTTCAGAGGCTGCTCAGCTAAGGTTCTTCTAAATGACTTATTTTGAGCGGACACTAATACAGCTTGACAGGCAAGAACATCGCAAAGGGAGAAAAAAACAGAGCCTTGAACACAGGGAGAAAAAGTTCAGCACAATTCCAAGATGGTTTGAAAGGTCAGTCGGGTGTGAAAATATCAGAAATGAGGAAAGTGTTGGTCTAGATGAGCTGTTGCCACTTGACAGCTGAAAAAGGAAGCCAAAAAGACTTAAAATGATGTAAAGCATAAAATCTCCAAGCTTTAAAAACATTTTACAACTGGCTTTATTCCACCAACAAATATTTATTTTAAAACATTTTTTGGCTCCCATCTGCAAACTTTTTAAAATTTATTTTTTTTTGGACTGATGCACAAATTGGAATCATTTGGAGACTGATAGAGGTGTAAATAGTTCTGGGATATATTTATAGTTGTATATATTCAGGTTAAATAAAGATATATGTAAGTTTAAGTACTGGAACAGTATCAAAACTTTCCCGTATTAAAATTCAAATTGTCTGGCTCAGAACATACTTGAGTGAGAGTTCAAAAATACAAAAGTTCCCACATTTAACTGTAATAAAAATAAATTGCTGAACATTAAATTCAGCAATAGTTGTTTGACACTGTTAGTTATATGTAGATGTTTTATAGATTGACTATATACAATTTTTTATTAGCTTTTAAATAATTACAGGAGACCGATTTCACTTGTTTGTAAGACAAACAATATAAATATGTAAATATATAGAAATATATCAAATATATTTTCTTAAATATTCGTGTCTATATATTCATATTCATGTCTATAATATTCAATATTAATGTCTCTTATGCCCACCAAGGCTTGTTTTATTTGATCAGAAAATGGTTTAAAAAAAAGTCATGTGAAGTATGAATACAGTATATATTAATATTTGTGCTGCTTAAATTAATATTTGTATTAATATTCATATTTTTGTGGAAATCGTAACAGCAACTGAAAAAACAGCATTTATTTGAAATCGAAATGTAACATTACATGTGTCTTTATCAATTTAATGTCCTTGCTGAATAAAAGTATTCATTTCTTTAAAAAAAAAATCTGAATGCATTTTTACTGTGAAACCTATTAAACAGACAAAACTAAAACTAAAGGAATAATCAAAGTGTTCATCAAGTAGCATATAGCTGCACTTGCATTTAATTAACATTCCCATTATAATCTACATAGTGAAAGACGTGTGTAAAGATATAAAGAGATCTTATTGTGCAAATCTGCTTTTCTAATAAAGACCGGAATTCCATGACTGTCTGAATACAAACAAACAAATCTTTCCAGCAGGAAAGTGAGCCAAATGTGAGGTGAAGCTTGTGTTTGTGTGCCAGTCTCATGCCAGTGTAGCCCAGCTTCTGTGCCTGCCTGCTGTTTTGGTTCTTGTGTTGTCCTCTGGGACACACACAGACACACACACACACAGACACACACACACACACACACACACACACACACACACACCCACCCACCAACCGAGAAGTGTGCAACTGCCCTGATACTCGTGGGAAACATAATCTAGCTCTCCACACGCATCGCCTTCCTGGCCCTGAGCTGCACAGTGTCAGGATTTAGCGGAATTTACATCTCTGAA